CTACATCAGGGGCTCGTGGCGGCAGGTCAGCCCGACGCCCTCCTCCCCCAACCCCTGCCCTGCTTTCCCGGTCAGGCGAAGTAGCGCGGGAAGGCATTCAGAGCGGTGCCACAAAGGCACAAGGAGGTAAACATACATTTTGGTACACAGTTATACATAGACACACGCATACACAAACACATACATAACGAAACATATGCACTTACTGCATATACATACACGTATGCGTACACATCGACATTTATATATGTATATATACACAACTATTCAACTACATGCAAAACTGCATCCACACATGCTTAGGTACATGAACACAACCGTATACTTATTCATGCGCATACGCACACATCCATACATGCATGTATACCATACGCAAACAGATATGCATACATGTGTATACATATATAGAGACATGTGCATGTACATCTACGTAAACACAAACACATACATGCATATACGCAATACATACATGTATACAAGCACACATACAATTGAATCTACATTTTCATTTACATATACGTATGCATCGTCGTATACACATGTACGTACGCATACACGTGTACGAATGCTTAGATATACACATAAACATTTACGAACACACATGCGTACGCATGCACATATACATGTATACCGCATTAAACATACAATTTCACATGCACATGCGGTATTGCAATGACGACATGCACAGGCATGCATACACACGTACACAAGTATCTACACTTGATTGCGTGGGTGTATACACATGTTTGTAATGTGTATACACCAGAGGATTATCCAGAGGCATCCGCCAGGGCTGCCCGCTGTCGCCGTTGGTCTACGCTGCCTGCTCGGACTTGCTTCTTCGCCGGCTTCGACGATTATTTCCGGGCGCCGCCGCCCGGGCTTACGCCGACGATCTCGCGCTGGTGCTGGCGAATGCGCGGGCGCACCTCGGCAGTTTGCAGCAGTTCTTCGACGAGTTTCGTCGGATTTCCGGCTTGGGGCTGAATGTGCAGAAAACAGTGGTAGTCCCTACGGATCCATTTGACGAGGAGCGAGCGCGGGCTGCTATCAGCGCTTGCGCGCCTGGCTGGGGAGGAATCGTGGTGGCCGCGGCGGCGAAATACCTGGGCGTCTACATCGGCCCCGGTCGCGGGCAGCTGTCTTGGGAGACCCCCATCAGTAAATATTTGACGCGAGCCAGTCAGTGGGGAGAAGTGGGCGCAGGTCTCCTTGTTTCTTTAAAGGCGTACCGAGTGTACAGTGCATCCGTCCTCTTATTTGTGGGGCGACTAGAAGTATTGCCGCATGACTTCGCGCGCACAGAAGCCGCAGCTTGCCGACGGTTGTTCCGTGGCCCGATGGATTGGATCACCACCGACGCCCTCCGTGAACTCCGCGCTCTGGGCAGCACAGACCAGCTCGTGGACGTAGAGTCGACGGTAGTTGCAGCCAAGGCGCGAGTGGTCCGTTACGAGTCCAACGGCTCCCTTGGGATCCGGCGGCGGGCGACGCATATGCAGCGGCTCTCTTGCGCCTCCGACGCCTCGTCTCTGGCGCGGGTGGCGTGGCTGAGCGAGTGGCGCAACGGCAGCTTCCTGATGAACCTCAGCCGGGCCGACGAGCAGGTTGCGGCGGTCCGTCGCCGACAACCGCACGCAGAGCATTGGGAGCAACGCTCGGGGTGGCAACGGTTTGCAGCCAACCAGATCTACGTCCAACCGCGTGCACAAGCAATTGTTCACCTGCCTCGCAGACTGGACCATTGGTCTCTGGATATCTTGCCTGGCCGCCGGCTGGGGCCTGCTCTGCGCGTTCTGCGGATGGTGGGTGCCCGCTGTCTCCCGCGCTTTTGGGCTGCAGTGCTCCGCCTCTTTTGTAACGGTTGGTGTACGAGTACCCGTTTTGGTGGAAGTTGGCCATGCCGATTTGCATGCGGCGCAGGGGAAGACTCTATCACGCATTTTGCACACTGCCGCGCTGTCCGTGACCTCTTCCACCAGAAAGCGGGAGTGGAACTTACGCCCGGCGCGCTCGCACTGGATGATTTCTTTGGCTTGGGGGGGACATTCCGCACGGACGAAGCCACTATCAACTGGGCGGTGGCGGTGTACGCGCTGTACCGGGTGCACAATGGCCAGCGACGCCATCTGTTGGCGACGAGCGAAATCTTGGGCGCTTTCGGCGAGTACTTGAGGGAGGGGCGCAGCGGCCACGGCACGGACGCGTGAGTGAGCAGCGGCCGTCCAGACCGTTACGGCGAGAGTCTCGATTTTGGCCGTACCGGCCGATCCTCGATTTTAGGTTGGTCCCTGTTGTTTCTCCCTCCACTGCTCCTCCTTCTCCTCGCCTCGTCCCCTCTCGGGCGGCTGGTTCGGGGGATGCCTGCCCGTCGATTTTGGATCCCTTGCGGGCAGTCTGTTGTCCCAGCCGCACGGCCGATGGCGTTTCAGCGTGGGCTTGCATGGAGCGGAAAAGGGCTCAAAGTTGTACCGCGCCCGCCTGGAATATCCTTCCCCCCTCGTCTCCTTCCTCCCGCTCTCGCTTCCTGGAGGCGGAGCTCCGGCTAACCCCGCCGGGGCGGGCCGGCTCTTCGCCTCCCCTGCCTGTCTCCTCCTCGCTCCCCCCGTGCACGTCGTCTCGCCCGGTAGCCGACCTGGTTGGCGATGGTTTGCACCGCGCTCTGCAGGATCGTTCCTCCTCCCCGCCGTCTTCCCCTCTCCCTCCCCTTCTCCCCCTTCTTCCGGGTCGTCGGATGTGGCGGTGCCACAGGTCCGTGCTTTAATGAATGGCGTCGTTCACAAACGTAGTTTCGCAGCAGTGCACGCTTCAGATTTGCAGGCCACCGTGAAGGAGGCGGCGCACGGACTGCAGCTTCTTCCGCAATGCATGCCCGATTTGATACTACAGGCTTCCGTTGGAGAAGCGGCGTTGCAGACGGGGCCGCTTTCGCCACAGCACCGGAGCCGGCAAATGCCGCCTTCCGGCGGACAGCTCCCCACCAGGTCCGTCAGTGCAAGCGCTTGCGTGGTAAAGGGGGTTGCCCCCCCGCCCCTCCTTCTCTCCTCCGCCCCCTCTTTCTCCTCCCTCGTCCCCCGCGCGCGGCGACCCGCCCCCACGTTGTGGCGGTAGAGGGGCACACGACGTGGTTCGTCTTGTTAGCCGGTGCGCGTTTCAGATCTTAGCTGGCCTCCGGAAGGACACGATCAAAAGGGTGAATGGAGGGGTGCCGTGTCGGTCGGCCCCTGGTGGGATGGCGCCCCTCACCAGGGAGCCGGAAAAACAATGGCTCCTCGGATCGGCACCCTCCCTTTTTTTTCCCGGACAGGCAATGAGCCCATTGTTCTCTTTTAGTAGGTAAACCTGTCCCCCGGTGCCAACTTGAGGGAGGCCGGCGAATTTTTTCCCTGATAAATAACGAGGTCGAAGGAGGCCGGCGAATTAAAATTTGAGGATGTCTCGAGCGAAACGCTTGTTTTTGAAATCCCGATCGTTAAATCACAGGGTGCGGGCCACTTTTTCGTGTGTTGAGGATGTCTCGAGCGAAACGCTTGCTCCGCAGAGTTTGCCGAGGATGTCTCGAGCGAAACGCTTGTTTTGCAGAGCCGACCGCGACGCGGAAAAGAGCCCCGCGCGAAGGAATTTCGATGATGTCTCGACTAAATTGTTCCCGGAAAGGGCTTAAGCCCAGGGTTCTCTTTTAGTAGGTAAACCTGTCCCCCGGTGCCTGCTTGAAGGAGGCCGGCGAATTTTTTCCCAGATAAATAACGAGGTCGAAAGTAGGCCGGCGAAATTAAAATTTGAGGATGTCTCGACGAAACTCTTGTTTTGAATCCGATCATACAAACTACACCTGCTTGCCAGCGTGTATCGTGTGTTGAGGATGTCTCGAGCGAAACGCTTGCTCCGCAGAGTTTGCCGAGGATGTCTCGAGCGAAACGCTTGTTTTGCAGAGCCGACCGCGACGCGGAAAAGCGCCTCGCGCGAAGGAATTTCGATGATGTCTCGACTAATTCGTTTGTTTTTGTACGATTTCCTGGAATTTTGGCAGGATTTCTCGAGCGAAATGCACGACCCCACCCTAGCACGACCATACCCCAGCACGACCACACCCCAGCACGACCAGACCCCAGCACGACCCCACCCCAGCACGACCCCACCCAGCACGACCATACCCCAGCACGACCACACCCCAGCACGACCCGACCCCAGCACGACCCTACCCCAGCAAGACCACACCCCAGCACGACCACACCCCAGCACGACCCTCAACCACAGCACGACCACACCCCAGCATCGACCAGCCCCAGCACGAACCACGCCCCAGCACGACCCTCCCCACACGAACACCCCCAGCACGGACCACCCCGCCCATCACGACCACCCCCCAGCACGACCACCCCCCAGCACACGACCACCACCCCAGCACGCCCATCCCCAACACGACCAACAACCCCAGCACACCCCCCAGCCGACCACACCCCAGCAACTGAAGTTTTTGAAATCCGAATCGATAAATCACAGGGTGAGCGAAGCACCCCAGCACGAACCCCACCCCAGCACGACCCCACCCCAGCACGACCCCACCCCAGCACGACCACGCCCCAGCATGACCACACCCCAGCACGACCACACCCCAGCACGACCACTCCCCAGCACGACCCCACCCCAGCACGACCCCACCCTAGCACGACCACACCCCAGCACGACCACACCCCAGCTCGACCCCACCCCAGCACGATCACACCCCAGCACGACCCCACCCCAGCAAGACCACACCCCAGCACGACCGCACCCCAGCACGACCTTACCACAGCACGACCACACCCCAGCACGACCACGCCCCAGCACGACCACGCCCCAGCACGACCACGCCACAGCACGACCACGCCCCAGCACGACCACGCCCCAGCACGACCACCCCCCAGCACGACCACCCCCCCAGCACGACCACCCCCCCGCACGACCACCCCCCAGCACGACCACACCCCAGCACGACCACTCCCCAGCACGACCACACCGCCTTGGTTGAGTGGTTGCCTGTCG